ATCCGAATATTAGCAAACTTCGGATGCGCGAATCGAATTTTCCCCGATCGGCCGATTTTCATCCCTTCTACAGCCGGCAAAAAGTGTCCCTGTAGAGAGCTCCGCTATTTCTGACAGTTCTCTGACAGTTCCTTCACATTTACAGCAGTTGAAACATTGTATCTATTTGTTTCCATTTAGGATACAGATGTTTTTATTCGGAAACAAATAGATACAATGTTTCAACCGCTGTAAATGTGAAGAAACTGTCAGAGAACTGTCAGAAATAGCGGAGCTCTCTGCAGATACACTTTTTGCTGCACTGGAATTCTTCTTCATCCTCATCCTACTATCTTCTTCTTCTCTTCTTCATCCTCATCCTACTTCTTCTTCTTCTTCCTCTTCTTCTTCTTCTTCTTCATCCTCATCCTTCTTCTTCTTCTTCTTCATCCTCATCCTACTTCTTCTTCTTCTTCTTCTTCATCCTCATCCTACTTATTCTTCTTCTTCATCCTCATCCTACTGCTTCTTCTTCTTCATCCTCATCCTTCTTCTTCTTCCTCATCCTCATCCTACTTCTTCTTCTTCTTCTTCATCCTCATCCTACTTCTTCTTCTCCTTCTTCTTCATCCTCATCCTACTTCTTCTTCTTCTTCTTCATCCTCATCCTACTTCTTCTTCTTCATCCTCATCCTACTTCTTCTTCTTCTTCTTCATCCTCATCCTACTTCTTCTTCTTCTTCTTCATCCTCATCCTACTTCTTCTTCTTCTTCTTCATCCTCATCCTACTTCTTCTTCTTCTTCTTCATCCTCATCTTTCTTCTTCTTCTTCTTCTTCTTCATCCTCATCCTACTTTTTCTTCTTCTTCTGCTTCTTCTTCATCCTCATCCTACTTCTTCTTCTTCTTCTTCTTCTTCTTCTTCTTCTTCCTCATCCTACTTCTTCTTCTTCTTCTTCATCCTCATCCTACTTCTTCTTCTTCATCCTCATCCTACTTCTTCTTCTTCTTCTTCATCCTCATCCTACTTCTTCTTCTTCTTCATCCTCATCCTACTTCTTCTTCTTCCTCTTCTTCTTCTTCTTCATCCTCATCCTACTTCTTCTTCTTCTTCTTCTTCTTCTTCTTCTTCTTCTTCATCCTCATCCTACTTCTCTTCTTCTTCATCCTCATCCTACTTCTTCTTCTTCTTCTTCTTCTTCTTCATCCTCATCCTACTTCTTCTTCTTCTTCTTCTTCTTCTACTTCTTCATCCTCATCCTACTTCTTCTTCTTCTTCTTCATCCTCATCCTACTTCTTCTTCTTCTTCATCCTCATCCTACTTCTTCTTCTTCTTCTTCATCCTCATCCTACTTCTTCTTCTTCTTCTTCATCCTCATCCTACTTCTTCTTCTTCTTCTTCTTCATCCTCATCCTACTTCTACTTCTTCTTCTTCTTCTTCATCCTCATCCTACTTCTTCTTCTTCTTCTTCATCCTCATCCTACTTCTTCTTCTTCTTCATCCTCATCCTACTTCTTCTTCTTCTTCTTCATCCTCATCCTTCTTCTTCTTCTTCTTCTTCTTCATCCTCATCCTACTTCTTCTTCTTCTTCATCCTCATCCTACTTCTTCTTCTTCTTCTTCTTCTTCTTCTTCCTCATCCTACTTCTTCTTCTTCTTCTTCATCCTCATCCTACTTCTTCTTCTTCTTCTTTCTTCATCCTCATCCTACTTCTTCTTCTTCTTCTTCATCCTCATCCTACTTCTTCTTCTTCTTCTTCATCCTCATCCTACTTCGTCTTCTTCTTCTTCTTCATCCTCATCCTACTTCTTCTTCTTCTTCATCCTCATCCTCATCTTCTTCTTCTTCTTCTTCTTCTTGCCATGGGCCCCTGTACCGCCTCCTCATGCTGCTGCCAGGTCCAGAGTGTGTCATGGGTCCCTGTACGGCCTCCCATCGCCCCACTCTGCCATGTGCCACTTTCAGGTCTCCTCACACTGCTGGTGGGTTCCATTTTGTCATAGGGTGCTGTATGGCCTCCCATTGCTGCTGCCTCCACCGCCACACTGTGGCTCCACACTCTGGTTTTGGCCCCGTGACTGCCCAAATGAGTGAAGTGTGCGGTGATTCTAAGATCGACGGCACTCATCTGCATGTCATACTGACTGACAGTATTATTTCTCTTCCCCAGCAGACTCCAAGGGCATTTAAATTAAAGGTACAGTGTTCTGCACTAATATAAAGGCTCTCTGAAGCCTAGAAACACCCTTTTTATAAGTTAAATTTGCAGCGAATAAATTTGCATCGAATCGAATTTATTCCACAAATTCGGCGAATCAGCCGAATCGAATTTTTGAATAATTCGCTCATCTCTAATCATATTCTTCACATTGGGCTTTTTAGATGCTCATGGATTGAACAAGTGTAATAATAAAATTGTAAAAAATTTGTTGATACAAAATATAAAAAGTATTATACAAAACACCACAAACTTTAAAAACCCCAGTCTATAAATTTTACAGGGGTATATAACTCCATCCAAGCACCCCCTTCGTATCCTCAGTTTATAGAAAAGGCAACATTTACACATGAGCAAACATAGATTGTCAGCCTCCAAAAAGCGGTATACGCTATATTGCCAAAAGTATGGGACACCCCTCCAAATCATTGGATGCAGGTTTCCCAATCGCCTCCATGGCCACAGGTATATAAAATTTAAGCCTTTGTTATACCAGCAAAAGCGCACCACTTCGTATTCCAATCTTCCTATTTTCCCATCAAGATCTCTTTTCCCAATATGTGTCGTATGCCATATAATCTCTCTCCTGTGATCTTACAATGTGCTAATCCAAATCTCCAAAAAAAAAAAAACTAATATAGTTTTAGCATTTCTTATACTCAAAAATTACATATGCAGCTATGTGCAATATAGTGTGCAATAAGCAAAGAATGTGTACCACTCTTTCCCTAAATGCTCTTACCCTCTAAGGGTTTAAAAGTGCGCATTTCACTTTTCCACGTGAATCAAATCCACAATACGTGTGTCCATCCTTCATCCACCACCTCTGTGCAAAGCCAAAACAACGTGCTCAACCCCTTCCCCTTCAGTCATTCTCCTTACCCCCATGTCTTGTTAATAGCCTTTTCACAATCAAATATGAAGATGCCTAATCGCCTTCTTTTACAAATTCTCATTGGTTATGAAAGATAAACATACTCCCATAGTGCAATATTCCTTAAAATCCAGTTTAATAATGTAAAAATTGTGCTTACATGTGTTTGGAATACAAGAAGCTTGATTCTACCAATTTCTAAAATGGCCACCGCGGCACTTCCGGTTGTGTCTGATGTCACATTCACTGACGCGTTTCGTCATTGGATCGACTTCCTCATAGGTAATAGGTGTCAGACGCCATCGGACTTCTCCATCTTACATCCTGGAAGGACATCTAAATGCAACCTTAACCTGCTGTACCATACCCCATATCTTGAAAATTCCTAAAACAATGCCCTTTTACAATCTGACAACAAAATTAAATTGATGTATCCTCCCTTGTAGCCTAATAAGTTTAATTATAATCACTATTATCTACATAGACATACATGGAGACCTCAGACGTCTGCCATCTAGTGGTCAAACAAATGAATGCTTTTCAAGTTGAATACAACAGGATTATAAACCCCAACTGCTTAAAATTGTTGGTAACCATATCCTCTCTACAACATTGTAGCATATAGGTTACACATACAAAATATTTATTCCAAAATCAATAAATAAATGAATTAGACAATAAATAAATAACATCATTTAAAATAATTTAAATAATGAGCTAATGATATTCATCAAATTATATAAATCATGGGTGCATCTAAAAAAGAGGGGGGGCACAGGTGTATCCGATCTAGAGCAAAACACTCTTATCCTCACCACTGGCATTTACCTACTTAGGATCCACAAATGATAACTTACGAGTTGGAAATGAAGCAATTCAAATCCAATTCTATGTTTAACCCCTTGGGGTACATACTGTCCAGCTCATATATCCAGAAGGTTTCATTTTTTTTAAAACTTCCCTTGTGCGATTTATTTAGCAAAATTGCACATGAAAGACAATTGAGTAAAGACTGCAAAAAGCCATCACCTCAATATAAGACAATATACCTTTTTTAATGTTGGTGACATGTTCCCTTAATCTTATTTGTAGCTTCCTTGTGGTATGCCCCACATATTGGAGCCCACAAGGACATTCCAAAAGATAATTAACAAAATTGGAGTGGCATGAGATAAATTTTCTAATGGTATATGTTTTTTGTGTCACGTTTGACCTGAAGATTTAAAATTTTTATGTCTAGCATTAGTGGTCCTGCACATGGTACACTTCACACATGGGAAGAAGAACCCTTCATATCAAACATGGTGTTCTTAACCGGTCTTAGGGAGAGATATAACATTTCTTACTAACTTCTGTCTCAAATTGAGAGATTCCCTATAGACAAATCTTGGTATTTTTGAGTATAAGAAATACTACACTATATTAGTTTTTTTTTTTCTTTTGGAGATTTGGATCAGCACATTGAAAGATCACAGGAGAGAGAGAGGTTATATGGCATACGACACATTTTGGGAAAGGAGATCTTGATGGGAAAATAGGAAGATTGGAATACGAAGTGATGCAATTTTACCGGTATAACAAAGACTTACATACCCAAGGGGGTATTGGACTAAGAGCTGCACTTTTGTTTGTGTGATTAACAATTTTTGTGGCACTTTATACCATTATAATAGTATAAAATTAAGCACCTAGGCATGCAGACTGCTTCTACAAACATTTGTGAAAGAATGGGTTGCTTCCAGGAGCTCAGTGAATTCAAGCATAGTGACGTGATAGGTTGCCACCTGTGCAATAAGTTCATCCATGAAATTTCCTTGCTACTAAATATTCCACGGTCAACTGTTAGTGGTATTATAACAAAGTGGAAGGAACTATAAACGATAGCAACTCAGCCACAAAGTGGTAGGCTACATAAAATGACAGAGGGGGTCAACGCATGCTGAAGCGCACAATGCAAAGATGTTGCCAACTATCTGCAGAATCAATAGCTGAAGACCTCCAAACTTCATGTGGCCTTCAGATTAGCACAAAACAACAGTGTGTAGAGAGCTTCACGGAGTGGGTTTCCATGGCCAAGCAGCTGCATCTAAGCGTTAAATTAGGCAGGCCTTCTCGTCCGACATCAGTGACTGACCTCACAAATGCGCTACTGGAAGAATAATCAAACATTCCCATAGACATACTCCTAAACCTTGTGGACAGCCTTACCAGAAGAGTTGAAGCTGCTATAGCTGCAAAGGGTGGGCCAACTCAATTATTGAACACTACGGACTAAGACTGGGATGTCATTAAAGTTCATGTGCGTGTAAAGGCAGGCATCCCAATACTTTTGTCAATATAGCATATATTCTAGTTTGAGAATCCTAGGCAGCTCCTTGATGTGTTTTCACGATTAGTAACCCGATTCCTCAGGAGGATGGGAGATATCATTAACCTTCCTGGCGGTTTTCCCGAGTGTAGCTTGGGGTTAACTATCAGTACCAAAAGCGGTAACTCTAAGCTACACTCAGGGATACCCTGCAGCGTTGCTCTGGGATTCCCTCTTGCACTTACCTTGTCCTTTGCTCCTGCAATGTCCCCCCTGCAGCGTCCCCGGCCATCTCCTCTGGCCAATGTCAGCATCCATCTCCTGGGTTCCGGTCCCTGCAAGCGTCGGGACATACAGGGGAACCGGAAGGAAATTTAAAAAATGTTAAAAAGTGACATTCACTCAATACACTAAAATCACATAGTAAAACATTACAGTATCAAAACCATTTCACATACATTTTGTCCCGAGTGCTTTGTCCTGTGCCCTGCCTGCATTTTTACTGTTCTTTCTGCCTGGAAACTGAGAAAAGTCCATGGCGTCCAAAAAGCGTCCCTTTATGTCAAAATCGGTTTTAGACCAGCTAGAGAACAGCGATAGTAAATTTGACTCACTTGCAGAATTGAGTGATAATGATTGATGGGGAAATTCATCATCAGACACTGAAAACGATTTTGCAACTAAGCTCACTGATGTGTGAACTTGGCGCTATATTTCAAATTTCAGTGTTTTTGATTTGATTATATTATTGAATTAAATGTAATTTTATTATATTATTATTTTTATGATTATTTATTTTATTATGATTTCGTGTTTCAAATTTTATCATACCCGGGATGTTTACTAGACTCTTGTTCGGACAGATTTCAGTGACTTATTCCTAAAAATTACAGGCCTACAATAAAAAAAGACATATTTCCATTCCAAAAAATTTACCGCTTTGAGCACAGAAATATTGACATAATCATACCGCTAGGGAGGTTAATTCTGCAAACATGCAACACAAATAGGTTATAGACAGTACAAACATATCATTGTAAGTTTTAACAATAATGAGTCATCGATATAATAATGCTCTCTACATTTCTGCATAAATCCCACATAGGTAAATACCGTACCACAGGTTCCACCAGAGGTGAGTGGTGTAGAGGTCTTAAAGGTAGAACTGGAAAGGAGAGAAGAGAGAAGGGGCATTTCATAATGGATAAAAGATGACTCAGGCTATGAGTAGTACAGTTGTGTCCAAAATTATTCAACCCCCACTGAAATTGAGTGTTTTGGCCAGTTTGACATTGCTTTTGATCATTCAGTCATCTTGCTTACATTTACATTAAAGAGGCACTTGTAGGTCAGACAAATATAACATAACAGTTATAATGAAATAACCACAAATGTCTTTTCTGTGCTCACAGCATTATCAGTTTTATTCAACCCCCAAGTGACATTCAATCTTAGTACTTAGTACAGCATCCTTTTACAGTTATAACAGCTTTTAAACGTGAAGCATAGCTTGACACAAGTGTCTTGCAGCGATCTACGGGTATCTTCGCCCATTCTTCATGGGCAAAGGCCTCCAGTTCAGTCACATTCTTAGGCTTGCGCACTGCAACTGCTTTCTTTAAGTCCCACCAGAGGTTCTCAATCGGATTTAAGTCTGGTGACTGCGATGGCCACTCCAAAATGTTCCAGCCTTTCCTCTGCAACCATGCTCTAGTGGACTTGGAGGTATGCTTGGGATCATTGTCCTGTTGAAAGGTCCAACGTCTCCCAAGCCTCAGGTGTGTGACGGACTGCATCACGTTTCCATCCAATATCTCCTGGTACTGAAGAGAATTCATGGTACCTTGCACACGCTGAAGCTTCCCTGTACCTGCAGAAGCAAAACAGCCCCAAAGCATGATTGACCCTCCACCATGCTTCACAGTAGGCAAGGTGTTCTTTTCATCATAGGCCTTTGTGTTCTTCCTCCTCCAAACATAGCGTTGATCCATGGGCCCAAACAGTTCTAATTTTGTTTCATCAGTCCACAGAACACTATCCCACAACTTTTGTGGTTTGTCCACATGGCTTTTGGCATACTGCAGTCGACTCTTCTTATTCTTTGGAGACAGCAAGGGGGTACGCCTGGGAGTTCTGGCACGGAGGCCTTCATTACGCAGTGTGCGTCTTATTGTCTGGGCTGAAACTTCTGTACCCACATCTGACAAATCTTTTCTCAGTTCCTCAGCAGTCACACGGGGACTTCTCTCCACTCTACGCTTCAGGTAGCGCACAGCAGTCGAAGTCAGCATCTTCTTTCTGCCACGACCAGGTAGCGTTTCAACAGTGCCCTTTGCCTTGAATTTGCGAATGATGCTTCCTAAGGTGTCTCTTGGTATGTTTAACATCTTTGCAATCTTCTTATAGCCATTGCCCTTCCTGTGAAGAGAAATCACCTCTTCTCTTGTCTTCCTGGACCATTCTCTTGCCTTCACCATGTTTGTAACCACACCAGTAAATGTCTAGAAGGAGCTGAGTATCACAGTCATTTTAAAGCTGCCTAATTGGTGCTTATTATGCTTGATTGCTGCTCGGTGACATCCACAGGTGTTTTCAATACCTGATGGAAAGCACCTGTATGAACCTCTGTTCTTCAGAGTGGTAGTCTTTAAGGGGTTGAATAATTGTGGCAATGAAGAAACCACATAAGAACCATTTACTACTGTATTACATAAACAATTGATGTCATTTTAGTTGCATTTGGGTAGTTACAACGTCCTTGTAGGATTTGATTCTGAATACAATTCCAAATGTACACTATAGTCCCTAAACCCCTTTACAGCATTGGGGGTTGAATAATTTTGGACACAACTGTATATGAAGTTAAACAGCTACAGTATATTCAGATGCACTGATTGGTACATCATGCAACTAGAAGTAGTCCTCAAATTTACCAAAGGCATGTTTGATGACAGCCTTTGGTATTTCTTTGGAATTGTTCTGGTTGCACAATGCTAAAGGTATATGGTTAAAACTGAACGTGAGACAAATATTACAGACAGAAAATATTATAGCTAAATGTTCATGAATAAATCATTCAATTATTTTTTTCAAAATGTAGCTAGTGTAAGTGTCTGGATTTGGCTTGGTATCAGCATCTTGCAATCCTCTATACAGCAGCATTCAGCACACAGGGAGGGGCAGCAATGAGAGCCAATAACGTGTTATTTATAGATTTATAATGCTTTATGCAAATGTGATCACAGTAAATATATTAATAGGAGGGGAGAGCGTGAGCAGACACAACATCAATCTGTTGCTGCTCAATTACTGTCCAATCAGAAGGTTGATGGTGGAGGGAAAATACTACTGTATTCAATAACTAAGTTGTTTCAGCAACATTATCTCAAAACTGAATGTACAGAAATATAAATACATCATCAAGTAAAACAGCTCCAATATATGAATTTTATCAGCATATTTAGCTGTATACCTGGAATTTCGTTTTAATGAATTTAGTTTTAATGAACCCCACACAATGTTGTATTTCTGTGAAGGTTCTCAATTGAATTAAAGTGTTACTAAACCCAGGACCCTGCATTTACTATATCTGGTCTCCCACAGTACATACAACATAGATATGCAATTATTTCAGTAAATATAAACTGCTAAATACCTTTTCTCATCAGCAGTTAGAGCAGTCTTGTGACTTCTATCAGTGTCCAGCTGAGCACTGGTTAATCCTGTAGGAGGAGTTTTCATTCTGCTCTGACTGTCCTATGAGGCTATATAACCCCTGACCGTCTGGCTGGGCAGTGCTGATTGGCCCTGTGCTGATCATATGCACCCTCCCAAAAAAAGAAAAACAGCTAGCCATACACACTAAACTGAGCATGTGCAGAGTGACTCCTAGAGCTCTGTACTATCAGCAGATGGATTAGGGACAGTAGATGAAGGGGGCGGGAGGGTCAGAGAAGACAGGATCAAACAGCCTTTTTACACAATAAGAAGGAGTAACCCCTTAGTTTCCACAGTGAGTATAACAAGCATGCTTTGCTGCATATACAGACTGTTTTACTGTTGTGGGTTTAGTAACCTTTTAACTACTCCTAGCCATTGCAATGCATAATTAAATCTCTCTGATTGCACTGCATTTTGCACCACGGTCATAGTCTATTGCTTGTGTCTGTAGGGAGATACAGATGTACACTAAAGTATCTTATGAATGATGTTTGATGTTTGTTATGGGAAATAAATTTCCATCAAAGGAAGCCTCAGAACTTAATGCATTTTGAAATATGCTTTCTTTATTGAATCTACACAGCAGAAAACTAGCAAAAATTACCTTGACATCATCCCAAATGTACTCTATATTACATTTTACCTGTCTTTTAATTTTCTTTGATTTAATAACTTTTCCTTATATTTGTGTTTGATTACCCTTAATTGAGAACTAATTCACAGCAGCAGAAAAGGAAGGGCTTGTAATGAAAAATAAAGCTTTTGCTTTATTTAAAACCTTTTTTTTGAGGAATAAAAGGAAAGTAAATAATCAACTAGCATACAAACTACTTATTTTTATTAAAGCTGAACTCAAGAACATTTATATACACAGATGAAATACATATAATGGATCTGTTTTAAATGACTGTTCTGTTACACAACACAAGCCCTGTCTGCTTCAGTTAACAATTACAGGTCTTGTCCCTTCCTCAGCTTTGACTGGACAGTGGAAGGAGAAGTAGCAGGCTAATGTGCTCATCAGTCTTACTCTGCTGTCTCCTCCTACCAGCAGGTCCCATGTTAGCACTTGA